GAAAAGTAGCAGTTGGCCTTCAGGTCTCAGCCAAAAGGCTATCACTGCACGTTTGTTCCTGACTTGTTATTGGGGCCTCCAGTATGACAGTCCACACAGTGTTCACTCTGGCTGTTGCTGACTTTTGGCCAATAAAATTCAGAAATAATGATTACCTGAAATCACAGGAAGAATGTTCATAAAATGCAATAACAAATTAGAAAATTAAAGCTACTATTTCATTTACTCAGATGTTAACTGAGAAGTGCAGACCCTGGAGATACGAGGTAAAAGCCCCTATAACCTGCCTACTAAGGAGTTACTGGTACATTCAAAGAAACCTGAATGGGCCTAAAGAAACCTTTCTCAAATTTCTGTCCCAGTTTTAGGTAATGCCAAGAAGCTCAGAATTCAGAATTTAGAGAATCTGATGGGGACAGTTTTAAGCCAATCTGAATAACCGAAAATGAAACTACAGATCCAATGAACTCTCATTCCCTAGGATGCTCGCATGGCCTTAGTTCAAATAGGCTGCTGGAATTCTCGAGTGTCAACCCCCTGCATTTCCGTGAAGCCTGCCCTTTTCTCAGTTGGACCCTTCAAATTCATTCAGTGCACAGGCATAAAACAAACTCTGGCCCCAAATGAGAAACAAGGCGTTCCTTCCGCTGCGCAGAAGCCTACTCAATGGTGATGCAAGAAGGACTTGAAAGTGGACATAATATTTTAACAAGCATGACTAACTGAGTCTTAAATCACTAATCAGCCTCTTTATTTCCTTAACACTTTTCTTATGGCTGTTATAGAGCTCTGGGAAGCCAGGGACAGTGGCTTACATCTGAAATCCCAGCTACTCTGAAAGCCAAGATAGGAGGATCTTTTGATCCCAGAAGTTTGAGAATATAGTCACAGAAGTTCCAGACCAGCCTGGACAACACAGTCTCCCACCCACTCCCCAAAAAAACCCCCTATCTCAAAAAACAGAATTTTGTGGTTACTTTAATGGTGTGTCTTGAGAAATACCATTACCTATAAAAGGTATGTATATATCTGCATATACATACACCACATACACACACACACATTAAATCAAATCTCATTTCATTTTTGCTTTCTCTTGAGTTCTGAGCAACACATCTTTTTCTGAAATTTAAAACTGCCTGGAGTTGAAAACTCAAGAGTCCCAGATCTTTTCCTGATCTTCAGAGAGACATTGCTTATATCAAATATCTATTATATCTTATTGTGGATCTTTTGTTTTTCATTCTTAGAATGGAGGGATGCTGTGAAAATGGGTGTTTTCTATATTCTTCTAGGGAGAAGCCAATGCATGGCTATAAAAATGTTCTAAACTGACATTTGTGTACAATCTGCATTTGTGTTTCCAGCCAGTTTGGGAGCACTTTTATTTCTTAAATTAAAATAAGGTACTACTTCTTCAACTGTGTTTTGTTTTGTTTTATTTTGTTGAATCAGAGTCTTTCTATATAGTTCAGGTTGCCTTGAATTCACTATGTAGCTCATGCTGGCCTTGAACTCGCAGTGATCTTCCTGCCTCGACCTCTTGAGTGCTGGGACTACACACATGCACCACCAAGCCATGCTGGATTGTACTATTTTTGCCATCAATTTTTTCAAAAATTGTCTCACTCAGTTTAATACCAAATAGAATGAAATGATAGCTTAATACTCTGCCTTTATTAGAATAAAAATTTAAAAATCAATTTTCTGATCCTGTTCAGGCACTGTGGATGTCACTAATTCCTGATAATGTAATTTATGCATTATTTATTCTAATTTTCAAAGTTGCCTTTCCACCAATGTCATCTGACTATCTTGAGTCAACATACAGCCACTCAGAAAGAAGAGGACGCCATGCAACCATTTGGTTTCCTTTTACAACTAAAGCTCACATTAATACAGTCATAACTGCTTTTTCATAATCATATTGTGTTCTATGGTTCATTGGTCAGTCAACAACCAAACTACTTGCACCTCCAAATATTTCATTCTCTTAGAGGGAAAACAGCTACTTTGTTTTACCTGAAGCTCAGGTTCTATTTGTGAGGTGAGAGGTGTATCAACCAATGGAGAAGCAGAAAAAGCTCATAAAGAACATAATTTCTGCTTTCTATTTTCTTGTACTGCATACATTTATAATGCGGGAAATCTATCTGTTCAATCTAGTAGACGCTGTCACAAGAAAACTCAACAGCACAGAAGCATGTTAATGAAGTATAGGTAAGTGGAACTTCTCATCTCTTTCAGACACTTGATCTTTTTAACATGGCACTGGTCATTATCTAACTTTAATTACAGGATCAAATTACTTGTCAAACATGTATTGTTACTTATTCTTGCCTGCTTTGTCTTAATCTCTGTTTGTAATTCAATCAGAAAACAGCACTTATTTCAAAACAGAGAAATTGTCACTTTCCTGAATTGATTGTGGTATAAGGAGGGTAAGTATAAAATTTTACAAACGAAAATCTTTACCAAGTTACGGCTTCTTTCTTTCCTCTCTTCCTTCACATACAAAGACAGATACATAGAGGACAAAACTGTACTTCAAACTGTATTTTAAGCATCTGCACAACAATCTAGAGACCACCAGTGTTCCAGCATGTGCCGCATTGTACAGTCACTGAAAAGACAAAAGCTAAGGTGTGTTTTACTGTTTTATATTGTCAAGCTGGCCAGACAATAAATAACATACCTACTAGTAAAGGGATGACTTATGACAGTGCTTGGAAATACACTTACAAGTGAACCCATCAGAGGTAAAAAGAACAGAGGCAATTAAGGGACAGCACACTGTAATCTACTTTAAAATTTTAGGTTCTTACAAAGTGCACAAAAGTCTTCTGTTTAAATGAACCGTTGTACACAAAATCTGCTCCCCTGTGAGCATGTAAACTGTCCATTTTTCCTTTTAACTCAAAATTTATCAAGCACCTACTTTGTGCACAGCATTATTTAGGAACAGAATGGCCGGCCACAAGGTGATTCCAAATGTACTCTGGCTACCAGTTCATAATTGCAGGTTTTATCTTCCTTAAAAAGCAGCTGTTGCAAAATACCTCAAGTGGACAGTTAAGGAAAAATAGGTATTTTATAATAGCCCTGAGAGTCATTATAAGTGTCTAAAGCAGCAAAGAAAATAAGAGAAAAAAAAAAAAAACCTCAGCTCTTAGAATTACAACAAAACATGCAATCATCACGTGCAGTCCAGCACTATTATCAATTCTTTTTCTACTTTTTAATGACAAACTCCTCCATTTATGTTTTCATAAAGGATCTCCAATCCCATCGCTGTTACGGTGGCAGAATGGTAATTACCAAAATTTCCTCCTATTGTTTTCAACACCCATTTACATTGTTGGTTCTGGCCTCGAGCTTCATTATTTTCACTTATAACATTACAAAGAGGAAGCATTTGGTCCAAGTTGTTCAGCAGCAAGTCAGTACATCCAGAAGCAAAAGCAAAGCTTTTGGAACTGGAATCTAGGTATATAGTCACTACCAATGGGACAGGTTGCTTTTGGTCACTCTCTGGATGCAAACATGCAAAGATCTACTGCTTGGCCTGAAGGAACTCCTCTTTCACATGGGAAGCATTGAATTGCCCCACCTCTTTGCTATTGACCATAATCCGAAAAGCCAATGTGAAATTTATTATATAGTGAATTCCATTATTAGCAATTCAGTTCTGCTGTAGTGAGACTACAGCACCTGGGTGGCAACTGCACCTTGCTTTAATAATCTCTCTCTCTCCACTTTCCAGGCACTTGCTAAACTTAGTAGCAGGAATGCCTGCCAACCAAATGGCTTCTATTGCACTGGAGAAGTAAGTAGCCCGCAGAGGTAGAATATTAGATGGGCCATAGGCAAGAACCTATTTAAGCTATGTTTGCAGAAGTCTATAAATACGAAACCACCCCCTAGTCGTATTGCAAATTCAAATATTGTTTTAGTTAATTTTAAAAATATGTAAAAATTCAAGACTAAATTTGCATTGGTAAAAGAGAAAATGTGAATATAATCAGGAACAAAAATCCAAGGTATCTGGAAAACTTCATTGTCAATATGACTTTCATCATGCGAGGAAAAAAGTTGGATGTATAGTATTATGCACTGATGTTTACTTACTTCTACAGTTATGCTGACAATCTGTTTTCCAACCATTATATCAGTAATCATACAAAAAACTTACTGATCAACTTAGAGTGACTTTATGGTGAAAAATTAGCAATCATTACACAATTAAACCTTGCAGTGGTTTTGTTTTAATTTATGCTTTTCCATGAACTCTATACACGCATATGGAGAAGGTGTGGGAGATCCGAGCCTAATTTACAAATAGCAATTTAAGAATAGCTGGGAGGGAAAAAAAAACTCTGAAATACATTTCTTTGATTAGACCAACAATAAATTCATGTATTGTATCTATCTATAATCAAACAATGAAGCATTCAGAAAAACATACAGTAGGCCTACCATAATCATTATAAAATTACACAATCACCTAAATACCAGGTTTCATCACTCACCTGGGTTTAATCTCAGGGTTTTTTTTTTTTTTTCCCATAACAGCTAACTGTGTGCTGAAATCTAAAGTCACCTTTTGAAGCTCGCGAAATGCCCCCTCCTGCCCTTCAGAGACAGGTAGTAAAAGCAAGCTGTCCAAACGTGGAGATCTAGAGCGGGAAGCCACAGGGCTTTGCCAGGCAGCTGCGCCACTGCTCACATCACATGGAAATGGGGAAATGAGTTGTTACAGCATTTGCTGATGATATGTCATGCGAGAGAGTTCCTTTAAATTAATAAAGAAGAAAAAAAGCAAGAGGAAGAAGGAAGGAAGGTGAGGAAGGGGAGGATCAAAGCTCTAAAATCGCGACAAAGTTGTAGGATCAATTTTTCTATTCGGGGTTCTGTAAAACAAGAGTTTAAAAGACCTCGCGTCTCCCGGCGTCCTGGGAAGGCAGGCGCCCTCACCAGCCTAGACTCCTGTCCACCCTTACCTTATGCTGCCAGCGCAAACCAGAGTTTAAGGGGCCCTGTTCTCCGCGGCAGCGCCAGGGGCAGCGGCAGCGGCGGCGACAGTGGCACGAGCCATCTGTTAGCGGTGGCGGCAGCAGCGGCGCCGCGCGAGGTGGCCACTGCGCCGGGAGAGCCTCTAGCAGGGGTGTACGCGGAATGCCGCCATTTTAAAGCGAGGTTCCTGAAATCATTAGATATAAGCAAATTAAAGCCCGCCCCACCTACAGAACTTCAGGGCTGGGACGTGCTACCCGGCTCCAGCGGCCGCTGTGGGGTATAACATGTCAAGGCTACAGACACACATATGGGGCCTCCAGGACGGAGGCGACAGCGCCTCGGCAGCCTGCTCCTCGGCGTCAACCCGGGGTTCCCGCGAGCCCCCCGTCGGCCCCCCAGGGAGAGAACACCTCCTGCTCCGGACGGCAGGGGGGCTGCCTGCCCCAGCCGGCCGGCGGGCGGGGCGCGGACAAGGGGCAGCGGGCCGGCCCCCCCCGCGCTCGCATCCTCTTGGTTCAGTCCACTTGGAGCACACCTCGGAGCGCCCCGGCGCCCTTGCGGCGGCCGCGCGGGCCAGCGGCCGGGCGTGGGGCTTCAGCCCTGCGAGTGGCTGCCATGGCAACTCCGGCCCCAGCCCCGCCCGGTCCCGGCCGGTGCCCTCCGCCAGCTGTGCCCTCGCAGGGTCTGCCGGCCTGGCCCGCCGCGCTGGTGAGGGGCTTTGGGCGCCAAAGCGGCAACTCGCGCCAAACTTGCGGGGCACCCGATCCGCGCGCGGATGGCGCGGGCGGCGGGGGCGGTGCGGACGGTGCGGACGACGCGGACGACGCGGACGGCGGCGGCAGCAGCAGCGGCAGCAGCGCGGGGCTGGGAAGCGGACCGCGGCCACCAGCGGCCGCCCAGCCCCGCCCCGCCCCGGCGGGACCGGCCAGGTAGCGCTGCTCGCCCCGCACCCGCCAGCCTCACCTGGCTCTCCGCGCTGCTCCAGCCTGGCTCCCGCTGCCGAGCGGGTGGCAACTCGGGCGCCTGCTGCAGGGCTCCCGCGCCCACCCCGGGACGCTGTCCTTCGCCTCCCTCTGGCTGCTCCCAGAGAGCGCCAAAAAGTCGCGCTCCGGCTCGCGCTCCGAGTGCGGGCACTTTCTTCCTGTAGGGCGCTGTTTCGTCGCGAAATATACTCTTTGTGTGATTCGTTCATTTGTGCCTGGTTTTGGAGAGCGCAGCGCGGGCTTTATTCTCAGGGGGTGTGGCGCCTCTTCCCCAAACCCGCGGCCCAGCCCCCGGGCGCGAATGCCTCGTGTCATTTCATTCCGCGGAGGAGGGGGCCAATCATGACGCTCGGGTTATACAGAAACGAAAACAAACGGAGCATGCACGCGTGGTGGGGGCATCGCCAAAGTTTTCAGAGCTTGGGGAAACGGAATGCCAAGGAAATGCAGAGGGGCTCAAGGCTGTGAGCTTAGGGGCACTGCAGAGACAGGTGAGGGGAAAGAGGTGATCCAAAAAATGACTTTAGTAGATAAATATATCGATTCATTGTAGGTTAAAGAAGTACTCACCCGCTGGCTGGCTGTGTCCTCTCCTTTCTAAAAATGTCCCAGGCTGTTATATTCCAGTAAGAGCTTCGTCGAGGAAAATGTTCATCAGTGCTGATAGTTCCCGTTCTACAGATTTGCAGGGTAGGAGGGACGCCGAGATAAGCGTCTGAATATTTTTTATTTGAAAATGGGCAAAACAAATGCAGTTTTATATTGATTTAAAAAGTGTGCATCTGGACAGCAAAATTACAAGTTTCAAATTGATGCACGTGTAATAGCACCAGCTGTCCTTTAATTGGAGTCCTGCAATAATAAATGCATGCTTTCATTTAATTTTATGCAGACAGTTGTAGTTGATGACACAGACATCCGCACGGTCATCAGTGACAAGCTTATAGCCATCCATGGCTGCTTTCCTTTAATCAATTGCTTTACCAGAGGACTGGGCTTTTCCCTGCTCTACAGAAAGTGCAAAACCATGCAGGGATATTTAAGCAGTAGTAGCTTGCAGAGTAGTGTGAATTCTCAGGCTAATTAAACTTGTTAATTCTGCTGGCCAGATTCAAATAGAATTCTCCAGCTAATTTTAGGCAAAAAATCAATCATTGTGTGCTAAGTGCAAGATAATAGCAGTAGGATCATAATGGTAGGGAGAATAAAAACTGGACAGAACTGCCCTTCATATGATTAAGAAAATTCCCAGTGGCATTTGGCAAGAGCTACTTCAAAATTGATCACAACCATGCACAGGGACAGTGTGTGGCACTTTGTGATTATGGGCAGAATCCTAGCATAAGTCAAAAAGAGCAAGAGGTTCCGATTATCTCACTAATTTCTAACTACCTCACTGTATGTAGCTTCCTTCAAACTGGCTAAATTACCTGCCCGACCTTAAAAGTCAAATTTGTCTGTCATATAGGAAGTGGCTTTGGCAGTCCAGGAACTACCACAGCTAAAAGTAAGAGGTGTTGGCTACTATGGTAGGCTGGAGAGAAGGGCAAGGCTGAATTATATAACTTTATACCCAATGATCTAACAAATGAGGAACTGTTATCACTGAGAGTCAACAAAGGAGTCTTTATACTAAACATAACTTGGGTCAACACCAGCACTCTTACCTCTGTCCACCATTGCAAGCCACATCTCCTGTGGGACACTTGGGGTTTCCCTAATCACACTCCAACTGGCTCAGTTTTATCGTTCTTGAATTGCTGAAATACTTGCTTTATAATAAATGTAAGGCAAATGCTAATTCTTGGGATAGTACAGCTTCAACATTTTTTCTGGCTTGAAATTTCAGGGTAGTGAACATTGCAAATGAGGCTTTATTATTCTCTCTCTCACAGTGAGGGGAGAATAACCTTATATACAAATGTCAGTATAAACTATCCTCCTTTTATCTAGGGTGTCCTGACCTGCACAAAAGACGCTAGGCAAATTTCCATGCCACCCAGGCACTGGGAAGCATTTGCAAAGGTTGTAGGAAGTTGGTGTGCCCTCCCCTCATCACTTCAAAAGGGCTCATTTGCTCTCTAGGGTGAACTCACCTTGGAATTACTTTCCACTTTACTAGAGTGGTTAGAACTACCCTACATTTTTTCTTCTGTTCTCCTTAAGCATGATTGGGGACATAACCCAGAAAAAATAGGGCTGTGTACTGACAAATAGGTTACATGAGTTCTTCCGTAATGTATGTATGTTATTGTCTTTGTATACTTATATCCATTCCTTGTTTGCATTGTAGGATTGTCTCAGCACCACTAACCTACTGGATCTTCAAAGGTCAGCGTCTTGCAAAACTTGGGTTCAAAATATCACTCCTGTCCCTTCACCTAAACATGTCAGAGTCATGTAAGCAAACATTTAAACATACTTTGGGAACATTCTTCTTGACCTCTTAGGTTTTAAAGCCTGAAATTAACAATTATGCATAAGCTGTAAGGCTAATACCCAGGTAAAGATGTAGCAGCCTTGCAAGTAGCATATTCTTCCAATAAAATATAATTAACTTTGACTGATGCAGAAAAGAATTCTAAAAGTTATGTAATGGTTTAGTAACAAAAGGATTATTGTACTCCCCCACCAAAGAAATGTTGCTGTGTTTTTAAAGATGCTGAATAGGTGAAAAGTTAAACTCTCTCATGTATCAATTCTCACTAAATTGGATTAGGATTATGTTTTATTTCTCTCCTAACCTACATAACTCATTTATTATTTTCTTAGATAATCAAACTTTGCTATTGGGCATGAACAAATGGTAAAGACTCTCCTTTCTGACTGAAATCTATGGAATCATTCCCATCACCTTAATGTAACATCACCAGTACTGTATTCTGCTGCTCTGTTCTACAGATGGCCCTGCAGCCTGCAGTTCCACAGAGACATTGGTAAGCATTTCAGAAAGAAGCTTGTGGCCAATGAAGGGTGGCTCAAGAACTACTCAATATTCATTCATTCCTGAACAACTTTTTTCATTCAGAGTTGGGAATTTGGAGTTTGAGGTTCACACAAAGGTTCCAGCTAAAGGAACAGAAAATAAAACCAGGACCTGATTGTTAAAAAAAAAACAGTTTGTGTAATCAAATGATGTTGGCTTCCAAAGTAATCCCCTCTGTAAAATGGGGCAGAGTCTATTTCCTACAGAAGAAAACAAAAATGAATCTAGTAACTAGTGAAATGCTGAAAGAATTGCAAACATAAATAATAAATTGATCAACAATTATTAGATTGGCAAGAAATTTTCTGCAATTCAGAGTGTTTTTTAAAACTTAGACAAAAATTGTCTGAATTATCTGGGTATATCCTAATAAAAAGAGAAGAAAACAGGATAAATGTTGAAGAACCACATTAGGACCTGCTGGTTTTACAAAGCAATTTCCTTCTCTAGTCTTTGAAGAATATGTTATAAGAATTATCTTTGATTATTGAAAAGTATGGTACATTTCTTGAAATTATCCTCAGAGGGAAATGTGCTAGTAACGATTCAGATAAAAATGATTCAAAAAATGAGAATAATACAAAAGGTAAGATTGCTATATAAAAAAAGAAAAATGCGGCCTGTTCTCACTTAGGAATACAAACACTATGATAGCAACCATTTAATGTAAAACTACTCCATGCCAATCACTTGTTAGCTCAATGAATGATCATAACAACCCGTAAGTATGCATTGTGATGTCCCTATGCTAAAATGACTCTTGTCCACAGCGGCAAAGTAACAGCACTGCTCTAGCAGAACAAAGATTCTAAAGCAGTTTCCTCTGATGACAGGAGCCACACTTTTAACTTCTGCTCATACTGAAAACAACTATAGTGAAGTCCAGTTCCATTTGAGCTCACTGATGTGAGCATGTTAACTAAATGCTACAAATAAAATATAGAAAGTTATTAAAATAAATTTAAAATTTGATAATTGTTTATTTTAGGAATGTAAAGCATTTCAACAAAAATGGTAATATTATTGAAAAAATATATGAATTTGATAAAATCCAGTTCCTACTTTGCTTGCCTTTGTTTTGGGAATTTATTTTTTTAAACAGAGACTCTCTGCAGAGTTCAGGCTGCCCTTGAATTCAAGGTTTAGCCCAGGCTGTCTTCAAACTTAAGGTGATCTTTCTTTAGCCTCCCAAGTGCTGGGATAATGTGCCTGTACAGCCATGCCCACCTAGTTCCTACTATTTATGTATGCACAGCTAAGTATAGTGAATTATAT